ATCAGGAAACTTCCCTGGCACACTGATACAATACGTCTCCTGTAGTGTAAATTATCGAGGCAGCAATGAAGCAGTGAACATGTTTATGTGATGTGGTTTGCTTTGTTTACTGCATCCTTTTGTGCTGGTAAAAAATGTCAGCTTGTTTTACAGTTCATTATAATGTGTGCAGTTGGGGTATTTGGTTCTAGAGTAGAGAGTTTAAACATGACCTGAAATGGAAGCTGTGCATTTTGTATTGATGCTGCTGCACAAAAGCAAAACAAGTGGTGTGAAATCTTTGTTCCAGTCAGTGTCACAACAACTGGATTTTGACTTTTGCCCATAGTGACTGGTGTTCCCACACTGTGTTCACTGTAACCAGTCGGATAGGAGGGACAAGGCTGCCGTAGCTGTGACGGCAAAACATGTTACAACACACTGGTGAAATGGAAAGTTTCCACCTCTGTGCAATAAAACAACAAATGCCTAGACATCCAATCCACAGATTATTTGTGTATATTTAAATAAAGCAGAGAAAAGTAGCAAATCTTCATATTTGAGTAGCCTGGAGTGAGTGTTCGTCATTTTTAAGGAAACAGTTTACTCCATCAGAAGTGCTTGTCGGATCTTCTCCCTACACCTCTCTGATAGTGGAGGGAGACGGCGTCTGTCATTTCTATAACTTTACAAAACTGACAATCAAACATTCACACCCACTTCAAACTATCATCAGTCAACAAGGGTGAGACAGGTTTGAAATTCTCTCATTAGCACATTTGTCATTGTTTACCCAGCTATTTCTGCCTTTTTTCATGAGAACAACTATATAAATATCTTCCACAAGACACTGAAACTCTGCGGCCCATGAAGGCCACTTCACCTTCCAGTGTAGCCAACCAGTCCTTCACTTTGGTCCACACATTCATGTCCTCCACAGGATGAACTGTAACCACTTTACATCAGCTGTACTTGGTCTTTTGTGCTGATGTCATTTTGCTAACATGCTAAACCACCGCGCTGAGCATGGTGAGCATTATGCCAGGTCGTTGCCAGTTCACATTTCACACAGTTTGCTCCTAAGGCTAGATTCACACAATAAAATTTGTCCTGTGTTAAAACAACACAGGGAGTTGTGTTGGTAGGGGTGCATTAATTGTTTAATGTTCCGGTGAGTCAGTGAAATACGATCCGGGAAGTCTATTTGGAGAATGAATTTATATGTTGAAACCAAAAACACAGTGCAGTGGTTTGTAATGGGCTACTCGGACAGGATCATACAGCTCTGGCAAGTTATTATGATTGCAACTGTTTCAGCTTTGGTCCTGATGATCTTGAGGTTAACAGCAGTAATATGACACTTTGGGGAGGCGACAGTGGGTAGAGCAGTCGTCTTCCAACCAGAAGGTTGAAGGTTTAAATCTCAGTGCCTGCAGTCCACGTGTCGAAGTGTCCTTGGGCAAGACACTGAACCCCCCTGTTGGTTAGAGCCATCGGTTGAGTTGTCGCTGCAGATGGCTGCCTCGGTTCTGTACCGGAAACAAATTCCTTGTGTGTAACATACTTGGCCAATAAAGATGATTATCCTTATCCATTCACATTAGAAGTAAGCCACCAGGGATGTATGCTCACATGTAGGCTATCTGCAAACAAAGCTGAACCAAATCCACATGATTCTGCGTCATATGGGACAACCTCCACCTTTGATGCCAACCATACTGCATGTTTTTCATGCAGAGTGAAAATCAGAGTGCCGGAGTAATTAAGTCCTCAAACCAAGAACTGAGTTAGCATTTTTGCACTTCTGCCTCTCTCACCTTGAAAACAATGTTTTTTTCATGAGTTTTCGATTAGATGCCTGAAATAAAATCTGTAGTTAACACAAGGCCAATACATTTTCCCCTTTTGTTCTACAACATAGAACTGTGTCACAAAAGCAAGATGGCCGCCCCTGTATTCATGACATTTTGGCTTCACTTTTGGATAGTGACAGAAAGTGGTGATGTGTCGTCCATTTTTAAATACAATCCATGATAGACCTGCTAGCATGGGTATAGACTCTGAGGGCCTAGTTAGGCTAGAAAACAAGTTGTTCATATGACACAGTGCGGAGGTGTGATATATTTTAAATATGAGATAACGGTCTGTCCTGGAAGGAATACATAGAGTTACACTTGGTTGTTCAATGAAAATTACCCATCAAAGTGTTTCTGTCAGTCGACTAATTGTTTTAGCACAATTCATGATGTAAGAAGAGCTGAAAGACAACAGTGGATGAAGAGGTTACACTCCTCAACACCACCAGCACACCTGAGCCTTCTGGGACACACCTGATGGACCAGTCTAATTTTTATTCTTTTCTGTTTTGTCCCTCTGGCAGCCGCCGCTGTGTGTTATCTCATGTTGTAGACGTGTTGGGTCTGATCAAATCCGTTTGTTATCTGGTGCAGCTTCAGAGTGCGGACTGTAGGGCAGGATAGGTGGAGGGTGGCGAAGGGGGAGGAGGTGAAGCAGTCAAGAAATATTATGGTATGTGTTTTGACCTACATGGTAATCTGACCCTGTAAGTAACCCTCCTCCCTCTGCCACCACTACCGCCACCATCCCCGTGGCGACCAGCAACACAGTAGCACTATTATGGTCTGTAGTCTCCCCCACCTCCCTCCCTCCCTCCCCTCCACGTCCTTTTTCCTTTTTGCCTCAGAAATGATATTATTATCATTATGTGATATGCAGTTCCGCAAGTGTGGTGGTGTTGGAGGCGGTGTGGGGGGAGGGAGGGGCGTCGACAGCATTGCACTGGGTTTCTATGACAACTGCCCCTAGTATCCTTCTGATTGGTGATTATGGGATGTCCCCCACCCCACCCTCCCATCCAACACCTCCCCAAATGCACACATGAACACTGTGTCCATAGTCAAGGAATGGAGAAGTGTGGGGGAGGGTGGGGGGATGCAAACCAAGGGAGAAATAAAAAGAGGAAGAAATGGAGAGAAAAGAAAGACAGAGAAGTTGTCTTTTTGTAAGTCGCTCTTTGTGTCGGCCGGTGCGCGCTGAGGAAGAGAGGCTGCTCCCCGCGGTGGGACAGAGGAAGGGCCAAAGACAAAGACAGAGACAAAATGAAGGTGTGCTGAGTCAGAGGCGACTGTAGAGCCACTGTATGAAAAAAGACCAGAAGGAGGGAGGCCTTGAGCTAAAGCCAAGAGACAGAGGGGAGGGACAGCTTCAAGCAGGGTAAAAGCCAAAGTGTCGGGGCACTGCAACAACATGGCGACATGAATAATTTGTCAGTAGAGTCAAACAATCTCAAATTGGTATCTAATTTCATGGGGAAAACATCAAAATGAAGAGTGTGTGTGCACTGTAACGTCATGGTTAACCCTTTAACTCACAGTGCAGTAGTCACTGCTGTACAAGAACTGGGATTTCTGCACAGTTAGTCTTTCATAATGAGTGAACGATGCACCTTACCTTGGGAAATTACAGCCAGCTGTCGTCTTTGCATGCTTGAAAGTTTCCCTCCAAGCCATTCATTCCTCTTTCTGCTCTACTACATAGGGTCAAACATACTGTATATATGGGTGACAAAAGAAAGGAAAACCCAACACAGAGTGTCTTAGTAAAGTGATGGGCCACCAGGTCCCACCAGAAGAGCATCAAATAACTGACCAAACTACTAATTAATTGATCAAAAATAAGAATTAATAACTGCAGCCCTATGAAGTGGTGGGGTAGCAGTTTGGGTTTGTTTGCATTGAAATATTGTTGAAGATATTGATTAAATTCTATTTTGCTCCAGATTGTTCCAGCAGTGGTCATGCAGGCCTACGTTTGGCCACATGTTGTGTTACGGCTGCTAAAACATCTGTTGGATTTGAGCTTTGTTGCAGTTTGGTGGGTGACTCGAGCAGCATCATCTAAGCAGATTTGTATTCTAGTGCTACAATAACAATGCATTACTCATTCTGATGCCTTACAGTTCCCCAAACAGGACTCCCCATTAGCTGACACGCACACTGCTGATTTCCTGTATGGTAAAACATCATTGACAAGCCTCTCTGTCAAACTAAACACAACAGTTCTGCATTTCACCCCACAGTCTAAATGTAATACAGAGAGTCAATGGTGGGAAAAAACTGTCTAGGACCCAGACGTTTTTCCCACCATTGACTGCAGTGCATTTCCAAGCAGCCTGTGTGTATGTGTGAGTGTAGACAGCTTAACTCAACTGCTGGCTTGGCTCTTGCGCATCTGGGCTCCCTGTTTTAAGTTTTGAGGGCTGCAGACTTGACGGTTTTAACTACAGTTTGACCCTTGTGACCTCTACCTGTGGTCTTCACTGGTGGGCTGTGCAAGGAACTTGACTTTTGAACCTCACACTGACCTGCTCACAAGACTTTTCAAAGTCAGCCTAGCTTCTTGGCCTCTGTGCACTGATGCAAATATTGCCCTGATGTCATGTACATAAATAAACCATATGCTTCAGCTTGTAATGCCCCATATGGGGGTTACACCTGGGTCACCTGGTGTCGCCCCATGTTTAAGGTGCTTCTCAGATGATTCTCAGCCTTGCATTGCATCTCCACCATGTGCTGTCTTTAGCAGCCAGGCTCATATACAGTACAGTGCTGGCATACATGCAAACACGCACACTCAAGTTAAGCAGTCATGTGGCACACACAGTTGCCATGTGACGGCTTTTCCTTTTTTCACCCTCCTTTCTCCCATCTCTCTTTTTTTGGAGTTATGCTTATTGTGGGATGTCAGTGACTGCACTCATTAGTATTATGGGATGCACACGGGGGTGGGAGGGGGGTGTGCGTCTCCATGGTAACCCTGGTTGCTAAGGGAGGGGGTGGAGGCGTGGGGGGGGGGGGGGCGGCATGGATGTGGGTAGACTGTAGAAGAGGGAGGGGGTGAGTTGATTATTATGGTCTGTACGTTGCAAGGTAACTATGCAGAGTGGGGGAGGGGTGACTGAAGTGTGCGTCTGTGTGTGTGTAGGGGGGATATTATGGGATGTCTGCCCCCTGATCTCTTTGTGTGTGTGTGTGCGCGCGCGGGGTGTGTGTAGTGTGCGAGGGAGAGAAAGAGGAGACGGCGTCGTGCGCACACGCTGCCACACACACACAAAAACAAAAAAACACGTTAATATAGCCTATTCTAATTGTAACTTCTATATACCGTTACCTCAACAAACAAAAGAAGCTTCCAAGTATTGACTGATACACAAACTGCGCCCGGAGTTACTGTTTTTGGAAGCTGCGTGGAATCAAGTTGTGAGTATGTCAATTTTGGTTTTATTGTTTGTGAATTCACTTGAATCAGAGTGAGATGGTAGGGGTGAGCTAGCCTCGGATGCCGGTGTTGTTACACCAAGATATTTATTGTTATTAATATTATGAATGTGTGAGCAGCTCGGTTCTTTTCCCAAATCTGAACCTGGCCGCCGGTCAAGCTCGGCTAGCACGCATGCTAATGGGACGGAAACTAACGATAAGATGGTCTGTCATCTGAATGCAGCGATGGAGTGAGCGTGGGTGCTAATCTTTGTCTGCTGTCCAATTTGATAGCCAGACAAAGTTAGATATATTGTCGTAAAAAGCCCACGCGGTGAGTGTTTATGTGGCCCGGCGTTTTACCGGGTGCTGTATTTTCGAATGCTCTTTGCTGTTAAATATTCACTTCCGTTTTCTTTTTTGTTCTTCTTTCCCTGGACGGCTGCCCTCTCCTAACTACACAACACACACTACGACCTGGACAGACACAAGACTGGGTTAGAAATCTGGATTATCCTATAAAGTAATAACTTTATTTAGTTAGCTAAACTGTTAGCTAACTAAATAGAAAGTTTCCTGCTATCCGCTATGTCTGGAAGCGAAGATGACAGAGATGATTATGGAGCCCCCGAGGACCGGTTAATGCACGGTAAGACAAGGCTCATTTGTTAGCTGAGATTGCTAATCTTCACCCTGGTTGTAGGCTAGCATGAGCAGATGTTTTTTGACATTCATATCAATCATGTTTCGTTAGCAACGCGCTCGCTACTAGCTAGTCAATGCTGCTAACTACCGGGTGGCTAGCGTTAGCTGTAACATTAGCAAACCGCGTTTTTCGCATCTGCACTGGTACTAAAGATTTTTTACAAGAATATTCAGTGTTACCCCAACCACAACCAAAAGCCCTATGATTGATAGTTGCATTGTTGTGAAGCCATGCCGACTAACCGGCATGTTCCCGGGGCCTAGCATTAGCCAGCTACCGGTATTTTTTACGTGTCGATGACAAGATGGAGGCAGCCAGTTAGCTTGGAAGCTGACGGATGACGTTGTGTAGCATTCTCCTCCTCATGACCGGGAGCCTCGGTTTGTGTGTAGGGAGAAAGTGAAGTAATACCGTGTAGTACAATGATATCTACGATCTTAACTACCCATTTCATAATCCTAAATTTTCACTAGTGTTCACAGGGTGGTTTAGCCGAGGATTGCATGGTTTACACTTGATTTATAATTCAGACGAGGACGCGCGGCGTACACTGTGGAACCAGAATAATTAGTCCAGCAAGTTAGCTTCAAGTGCTAAAATCGACTAAAACGGCTTTTTACTTATTAAACAACCCCAACTTTTTGATATAAACAAGAAAAGTAATAATACATAAACAAATCATGAAGCAGAGCTCTACAACAGATTGGGAAGTTCATTTTCGTTTTCAAGTTAAACGCTTTTTAATTAAAACTCCGTGCGTTTAAAATGATAACCCATGTTAATTTTCTGTCATCTTATAATATTGGACATGCGACTGGAAATGCATGTGAGCTGCGCAGTGGTGGAGGCACTGTGAAATACTCCATTGTACGTAATCTGGAAAATAGGGATATGTAGGTTATCCTTGTATTGTATGTGATAGTAATCCACTGATCAATTTCTTGCTGCTTACCCAGGTCCTGTTTAATAATAAGGATGTTATTAGGACATATTTATACACAACTAGGAAGTGCTGGCAAACATTTTTTTCCAGTTGCATTTACAATTGAGCACCCACCCACATACCAAAGCTTGGACATAATTCCCTCCTCTTCAATTCTTCCCAAAAGCAGTGGAAGCCCGATGAAAATCTTAACTTGACACAGAGCATAATTTTTGAGTTAGTCTGTCTTCTTGTGGGAAACAAACTGCTCTTGCCTTGAAACATCTGGCGTGCTTCTGCAGAAATAACTCACCTCAATTTTAGATGAGCACACAATTAGTCTTCATCAAATATAAAAGTCAGTAACTAAATGAATTACTTTGATTACATTGTGTGATGTCATCTTTCGTTGTGATTGTATTGTGACACAACATTAGAAATCAGTTATGTTGACTTTCCAAAACACTACATGAGAGGAGCTGCTCAGTGGCAGTTGTTTTCCTGTAAACAAACTGAACCAAAGCCAAAATATACCAGTATGTCACTGGTGTTGTGTTTCCAGCAGGGAAAACAATACACAGACACACAGTCACTCCTTTGCGTATCTTAACCATGGCATATTTCCTGTGGCCTTGATTGTAGATGACGAGGAGGAGGATATCTCAGAGAGTGAGACTCCGAAGATAAAGAAGAAGAAAAAAGCCAAGAAGAGCAGAGAGAGCAGAGGCAGTAAGAGGCGGTCGCGTAGAGAGGTAAGGATGCAGAGCAGTATGTGTTAGAGTACGGGTTGGGCTCCATATTTTTGTCCAAGTCCAAGGATGTCATGGCCTAACATGACAAGCATATTGTATGTCATGTCTGAACCCAACCCAAGCCAGGCTGGCAATGCTAATAAAGGTACACTTGCTGGAAAGTAGAAAAATACTTTACACTCTAAAAAACCTGTCAAGTCTCTCAACCAGATCCTGTTACAGCATCTGCAGTTGAGTCCTGTTTACTTATCATTTAACACTGAAGGCAAGACAAGTGCATCCTGGCTGATTCTTTGATACTACAATGCCACTTCTCCTAACTTATGCTTGAACATTTACACATTGCAAACCATATTAATCTGCTATGCAGTTTACCCACAGATTTCACACTTACAGTTTCTTTTTGTCTCTGCTTTTTATATTGGTGCAGGTAGAACTATTTTCTTGTATCATTTAGATTGTCTACTTACAATGCACAATACTGAAAGTAAGTTCAGAAAAAGCTTGTTAGAAGTCAACAGTTTAAATTTCAACTTGACAGTCTGTTGGATCTCTTTTTGTAATTTTCTAGGAATAACTAAATCTTATGTTTCCATTAAGAAATGTGCTTTATCCTGCAGTAATTAATGGCCTTATGCTGAGAGTGTCTCCCTGTCCTGTTCCTATTTTGGTCTGAGTTTGCTGACTTCTGTCTTTGCTGTCCTTGTTTCAGGAGCTTCCCATCAGCTCCCCAGAGCCTATGGATGTGAGCGGGGTGGAAGAGGCAGAAGATGTTGTCCCTGCTCATCGCTCCGACAGTGAGGGCAGCGACTACACTCCAGGGCGCAAGAAGAAGAAGAGGGCCAGCAGCAGCAGGGAAAAGAAGAGGAACAATGTTGGGGCAGATCGGACCGCCTCCAAGAAAAAAGAGCCTGAGCCTGAGCCTGAGGAAGATGAGGATGACGATGATGACGACAGCTCGGTAAGGAAAACCAGGCAGATTAAGAACATAGGTGTATTTTTGTGAAGTTTCTCAACACATAATTCCACACTGACAATCAGTATGTGAAAACGTTGGCCATTGTAGTATCAGAGAATCAGCCAGGATGCGTTTGTCTTGCCTGGGTTGAAAAGTTTCTGAAACAGCATTTACACTAAATCCTGTAAAAGCTCGTCACAGAACTTCCGAAAATCCAAAAATTGTAATGATCAGAATGTTTTTGAATGTTGTCTTTAGGCATCCATACAGGGATAATAATAATAATACTGGAGCATCACAGTCAGTTTGAGCTGGTGGCTTCCCATAAACAGCTTGTACAGTAGTGATCAGTGCTACAACAAATATTTGATCAAATGTCAGAGGGGCGACAGTGAGTGGCAGATGTCGATAAAAGGTATAGGTGATGAGAGATGCCAAGGTGACTGGCATTAACTGAACCTGAAACACACCTGGATGCGGTGTAAAGAATATCTGGGAATCTGTTAAATCCCGAGCCGTCAAAGAGCTCAGTGGAGTGTTTTTAATGCACAGGTTTGGTTGTAATGTTGAACATGACTTTTACAGGACCACTCTGTATTTGTAGGTTATATCTCCATAAATGCTATGTATAGGTCCTGTGCAAAAAAAAAAAACAACTAAATTTAGTGGGGTTTTTTGGCACTATAGAGGATACGCTGTGCAGTTAGAATGTGGGTGCATTTTTCTGTTTTTCACACAGCCACTGTTTTTGATTTATGTCTGAAAATCATCCCTTGGCCGACTATTGAAACCCACCTGACTTGCTTTCCATCACAGTCAACGTGTTTGTGGTGACCTATGACTGTGTGTGGAAATGCTTTTTAAGTTTAGGCTCATTTAAAACTACAGTGATTTACTTCAACAATAATGTAACTTTCAGCAGAAACGAATACAGATTGACAGATGACAGAACTCCGGGTTTTTAGTACATTTAGTACAGTTCACATTTCTAAAACAGCAGCATCATTTGTCAAATAATTGACTAAATGATATGTGAGTTGAAGCAAATGTGCTGAAACACACAGATGCACTGGTACAGTTTTTTTAAACTTTGCTGTGTGATTGAAAAATGTAGCAGTGCAGAACTTGAAACTGAGCCTGAACCTCTTAAAAGCTGAGCATCTACAATGTGGTCCAGTTTCTAAAGGTGCTGTTGTTGGAACATAACTTTGATAACAGCCCTTGTTCTGCTCTGTGATCAGCACCTATAGAGATTGTGAAAGCATGTCACGCCGTGTTGAATGTTAGGACGGGGGTGACATTTTAGGAGATGTGTGCTGTATTTACCTGCATACATTCTTGTTTTGTTTGGCTAAAAAGTTGCTAAAATTTTTTTGTATCTCATTTTACTGACTGTGGTACTTCAAGAAGGATAAACTCAGCTGACTCGTTAAAGACCCAGAGATCCAGTTGACAAGAGTGACAGACTGAAAAATTTCTCTGCACTCTGATCTCAGCTCTTGGTTCAGGACATAACTCTAGCTAGCAGCTGTTTGCAAATGACACAAATACTGCATCAATTTCTGTCCCGTCTGTGCTCAAACTGAACACTAAAGTGGACATTGGGATGTAGTTGAGGCATTCGCTACTGTATGTAGCTGTATGGGACAGTATTTATTGTTCAAATTAACTTATAGATGTGTGTAGTGTTCTCTATAACGGATAGCAAGCGTGATACCACCAAAATGCATTTACTCAAAATTCAACACGGTGTGACAACAACTTCACATTCTCTAATGGCTGGGTACCTGTTACAGCGTGGGTCATGGTTTGACAAACAGAGATATGATAAGAGAGATGGTTGAACAAATAGCTGTCTGGTGGACCCGGAGCGCGGCGGCCAGCAGGGGCTCTAGTCGTTAATGACACTTACACTGGGTGGTGTCAGGGTGCGTGTGTCTAGAGCGGGTGTGTAAGACATATGTATTATTACCATGGCAACCCCGCCTAGTGCCGCACTGCGCTCTTGACCCTTTTTTTTTTTGGGTTAGTTTGCTTCAGTGGCAGCCCATCCTATAGGCAGGGCCAAGAACTGGGAAGTGGCTTTGATGAAAGGCTGGTGGAGGAGGATGGCATGAAACCGCACGTCTCCATCAGACTGGTAGCAGCTGAAATTAGCCTCACCTGCTCAGGCCCAAAGAAATTTGTTTTATTGACCAAACTCTGTCCAGGGAGCATAAAAATTTAGAGAAAATATCATTTTAGATAGAAGCACTTTCTGTGCAACAGCGCAACAATCCCAAATTTGTGGTCAACTGGAAGTGCTTGGGTTTGCACTATTAGTCAGATAAAACATTGAAGGTGTTGACTTTGGCTCTGGTAAATTATGATGTGGACAAAACATGATGGACCAGTTAAACAAACAATTGGAAGATTAATCTACAGTTAAATATTTATTAGTCGTGGCACAAGTTTGAGCCTTTATTTGCTTTGACATGACTTTGACAGAAATGAGGCTGTAACTAATGACTAGTCTGTAGGATGTCACAAATGACACAAAGTCCACCCCTGTTTCCCTAAGACTGAAGAGGTCTACACGTTTTAATTGGTAAATGATATGCAGTTTAAAAGCATTTAACAGTGTCATGAAACTGGGAAAATCAGCAAATCTTCACAACTGAAAAAAAAAACTGTTTTTTACTTAAATCACTTTCATGTCTTAATTGTTGTTGGTTTGGTAGCAAATCAGCTGTATTTGTAATAAATTAGCAGATATATCATGGAGCCATTTAATGTAATTATCTTCACTAACATAGTGGTCACTGTGGCAGGTAAATCCTAATAAATTTATCAAATTTTTGTGGGTTGCTGATTTCAGGCCTTCTTAACCGGCCACTTTAATTCTTAGCCATGCAAATGTGGTCTGGTACAGTCAACAAAATCGTTTAAAATGGGAAAAAAATCACTAGCTGTTTCAAATGAAATTGTTGTGGAGCGACAGTTGAGCCACAGTCATGTTCAACATTGTTCTGTGTATTGTAAGGTAAACTAATGCCATGTCTTTCCAATAAGAAGCTCGGGCTGAGGTGCAGGGACGGAGCAAAAGTCTTTTTGTCAGAATTGGGTGATTTGGTTTTTGTGATGCAGCGCTCACAAATGCAGAGTGCTGTTTGCTGGCTGGAGACAAATCACAGCCCACTGTCTTTCAATAGTTTTAGTTTTAGTAATAGTTTTTAGATTAATCTTAAATCGTACATTTTCACATGTCCCCAAGATATTGATGAAGTGCCTTGTTGTTTACTGTAGGAACCAAAGTCTTCATCTCAGCTGCTGGATGACTGGGGCATGGAAGACATCGACCACTTCTTCACAGAGGAAGACTACCGCTCTCTGACCAACTACAAGGCCTTCAGCCAGTTTGTCAGGTACAAACACATTTTGTACTCACACAAAACTGATCATGTGTTTGAGAAGTCCAGTTTTTGACAACAAGCCAAGCAACCAGAGAACTGTTCACAGGGTCTTAAGAAATGTGAATGTTGCCTTAGTTTTCTGGTGCTCTTCTGCAGTGCACTGGCTACTTTCCTTTTTCCTGCTCTGATCACTATCTGAAGTCAAATGGAGCTGAAATTGTTCTTGAAAAAATCAGCAATCAATGTATTATGTCAGATACTTAATGCAAACACATTGGTTGATGCTGAAGATGTTTAAAAGCTTGAATCGCACCATATCCAAAATTTTCCCTTTCTTCCAGGCCCCTCATCGCTGCCAAGAACCCCAAGATCGCCGTGTCCAAAATGATGATGGTTCTTGGCGCCAAGTGGCGTGAGTTCAGCACCAACAACCCACTGAGGGGAGCTGCTGCTGCCAATGCCGCTCTGGCTACTGCCCATGTACCTGCAGCTGTCGACACCATGGTGGCAGAGGTCGCCCCGGCTGCTGCGGCACCACCGGCCCCAGCAGAACCTCAGCAGCCTCCCGCAGTTCCGCTACGCAAGGCCAAGACTAAGGAAGGCAAAGGTACAGTGAGCAAGAGGGGTCAAATAAAGTAAGAGAACCTGGAAAATCAGCCAGATAGCACTTATTCTTTATATTTCTGCCAAAAGTGCAGTTGCAGTGACATTAAAGAATTTTCAGCAGCTGAAGTGTCCTTATTAGGCAAACCATCTGCAGCACTGAACCAGTCTTCTCCTGAATCTGAGTGAGCTTTGTTATCCTCCTTTGCTCTGTGCATGACTGACCTCTGTTTTATTTTGACCTCTGACATTGTTTTATATTGCAGGCCCCAACGCCCGTAGGAAATCAAAGCCTGCACCAAAACCACAAGAGAAGAAGAGTAATGCCAAGACCAAGAAAGTGGCTCCTCTCAAAATCAAACTGGGAGGTTTCAACAGCAAGAGAAAACGCTCATCGGTACAAACTGTTTCTCTTCTCTGTTTCCTGCACCCTCTTTGTGCCTGCCTAAGAATGTGTGCAGAGGTATTCTTAACACAACTGGAATTTTGTCCTTTTCATGTGTGCAGAGTGAGGAGGACGAGCCTGATGTGGACAGTGATTTTGAGGATGGCAGCATGAACAGTGTCTCCGTCTCAGAAGGATCCAACAGTCGCAGCAGCCGCAGCAAAAAGAAGCCGTCCAAGAGCAAACCCAAGAAGAAGAAAGGTACACCTCCATGCTCTGTGTGTATGAGACTCTGCTCTGTTTCTGTCATCATCATCCTCTTGAACCTTTTTTCTTTCTTGTTTTGATATTAGCTGCCTTACATTGAATGTACAAGAGGTTTGGTGGAAGTTGTAGGAGCTGAACCCTGTATACTGGTCTGATGAGTCAGAGTTGGCACTCATCCTGAGTCAGAGCTGCAGAAATCCACAGTTGATGATTGTAGGTTAAGCACACAGCGGTGAATAGTAATGACTGCAGGCAGGGCAAAGCGTTAAAAGTCTGTGGAATGCACAGCAACAAGGAGGTGTATACACACACAAACATGAGTCACTGTGACTGAGTCAGCGGAGTTTGATATATTTAGGAGAACACCTTGGACTGGATTGTCGCCTGCTGATGCTCCTTCTTTAGTGCCACGACGTCACAGATGAATTCAGATCAAAAACTGAAAGAGGTCAACAACTGCTCACTGAGACACAACAGCATGAGTGTGGAAAACCTTTAACTGCAGTTGGGGTGCTTTATTGAGACTTTGAGGACTTGGGTTGAAAAGTCAGTGTTGGTCGTGTACTGTTCAGTCCTTCAAATTCACCAGCATACATAAACACACACTGTATATTATGTTTCTTTCCAAAATGGTCGAATACATCACTAAGAAATGCTCCAACCTCTGTGCTCTGTGACAGAACGTTGAACTCCTCAGTGTGAGTTTCCGAATACATCACTAAGAAATGCTCCAACCTTTGTGCTCTGCGACAGAACATTGAACACCTCAGTGTGAGTTTCCGCTCTGTTTAGCCATGCATTGAAACTCTAAATGAAGATTTAGCAGACCTTGATGAATGAGCATCAGTTGATGCATAAAGTGTATATATTTTTGCAGTGAAATCCCAGTTTGTTGTTGTTGTTACTGAGGAAATGTGTTCTTGAGGGGAAAAATGACTCACTGAGTGGGTTTTCCTCTGACAAACAACACAAAGCACGTATCACATCCTGTGTCTCTGTTAAATGTGAGGTGTTAGGGTAAAAGGTTTTTCCTCTCTTCATCAGATGCAGAGGACGGTGACGGCTATGAGACAGACCACCAGGATTACTGTGAGGTTTGTCAGCAGGGTGGCGAGATCATCCTGTGCGATACCTGTCCCAGAGCGTACCACATGGTCTGCCTGGACCCCGACATGGAGAAAGCACCTGAGGGCACTTGGAGCTGCCCACACTGTGTAAGCAACTTGCTTATACATTTTTAGGTTTTATCCATGACTTTCTCTTTTATTCCTCGCCACATAAAGGAATATGCCAACATAAAACGATCAAAGGGAAGTCACAGCAAGAAAAAAAAAAACCCTCACACGTTTTACAGTTGATCCATATGATCAGTAGGCTCCAAACGCTCACTAGAACAAACTCCAAGCACAGTCAGAAAGTACCAACTTTCTTGTGGTGGGAGGCCTTTAATTCTTCTTTCCAATGTGACCATTTGGAAGAATCATAAACCAGTTAGTTGTGGTCAATGATAACTGAACTCCAGTTGATTTTCAGTGGACTGTCCCTTTAAAGCAAGTGCAAGAGTAGAAAAGCTTCAGGAGACAAAAAATGGTGTCATTACTGAGACACTTCTTAGTCTCAGTCACAGATCAGAACCCTCACATTAAAGTGAAGCACTGTGGCTTACAAGTCTGAAGTATAAAATGTGAATTCTCATTTCTGACTCCCTCAATCCCAGGAGAAGGAGGGCATCCAGTGGGAGGCCAGGGAGGAGGGGTCAGATGGCGAGGAGGACAACGGTGAGACAGGAGAGATGGAGGAGGACGACCACCACATGGAGTTCTGCAGGGTTTGTAAAGACGGAGGGGAGCTCCTCTGCTGTGACTCCTGCCCCTCGTCCTACCACATCCACTGCCTCAACCCACCACTGCCCGAGATCCCCAACGGCGAGTGGATCTGCCCCCGCTGCACGGTGAGTCAGTCATATGGGGGTGACTGATGTGACATTCGGCCTGTCAGAGTAGCGACAGCTGAGTGACAAAATCTGCTGAATCTGACAGTCTTTATATTGATCCACTGAAAGGTTTTGCTCTTTCTGCTTGACTGGAAAGATATTTTGTTAATCCTGTGGATATTTCTGTTTGTCTGTGTCAACATGGCTTGGCTGATTGTTAAAAAATGTCAGTTTCATTTCATGAACAACTCATGAAATGAAAGCACAGATTTTCTCTCTGTGGGACAGATTTGTCATCTATCACATCTTTGGCAGCAAGTGCTTCTGATGAGTCATTGATCACGTTTTGTCAAGTTTTCAAGGAAATCATGAAATATCAGAATTTTCTTTTGATTCACTGAACCATTTCAGATATTGATAAAGCAAAAATGTTGAGGTTTTATTGGTGCCACCTTCTCCAATGAGGATTTACAGTTTCTTTTTATTTTTTTTAATTGCACATTTTGAGTTTCAGACTCTTGCATAAATGTATTTGAACGCATCACCTGTGGCTCCAGGAAATGATCCTGGACATTTTTATTGTCTTCTGAAATTTTAAAGACAATATAGGAAATGCGCTTTCCTTCCTTCTACTGTTTATGTTGTTGTATTACACAGCCTTATGCTGGTTTACTGTTTACTTGCCCCTTGCATTGAGATATGTACGTGCACAATGAGAGCCGATGTACCAGAGTCAAATTCCTCGTGTGTCCGACAAACCTGGCCAATAAAGCAGATTCTTCTGGTTCTGAAAATAAATTCTACTTGCAGCCCTGGTTATTTTCATTATTGATTAATCTGAGAACAAATAATCGCTGTGTCAGTAAAATTTCAGAAAATAATGAATCGTGCCCAAACTCAGATATTCAAGTTTACCCTCCACTTTTAATGAGCTGGAACCAGGGAGTGTTGTCTCTTTGCTTAAAAGTGATATTGAATTATCAAAGAAAAGATTCATTCTCTCCTCAGAATGTTTGTTTCTTGAAGTTGTACATAGGCCTTTAGAAATATAGGCTAAGAAGAAAGGTATCAACAACTAATGACTTTCTCGGCTTCCAGTGTCCACCCATGAAGGGGAAGGTCCAGAAGATCCTGACTTGGCGGTGGGGAGACCCCCCTCCTCCCACACCAGTACCTCGCCCTCCAGATCTTCCAGCCGACACTCCCAACCCCGCCCCGCTGGCAGGGCGGCCGGAGAGGGAGTTTTTCGCCAAATGGTCCAACATGTCATACTGGCACTGCTCCTGGGTCACAGAGCTCCAGGTTTGTACAGTTTGCACACACATGCAGATAAACTGTATTTGATCCTATTTTATATGAATTACTGGAATTATTTTTCTCCTGTTTCCTTCCCCCCCAATCCTTCCAGCTTGAGCTCCATTGCCAGGTGATGTTCAGGAACTACCAGAGGAAGAATGACATGGACGAACCACCGCCCATCGACTTTGGCGATGGAGAGGAGGACAAGAGTGTTAAGAGGAAGCACAAAGACCCCGTATACGCACGGCTGGAGGAGAGGTACCTCCGCTTCGGAATCAAAATGGAGTGGCTGATGATCCACCGCATCCTCAACCACAGGTCAGCACACACACCGACATAAACACTTCCTACATTTCAGATTTGATGGTACTTCACTTGTTAGAAGAATATAATGAGAACATGTGTTTTAAATTACAGCCCTTTTATGCTATTTTTATAGTAGTTTTAACACCACCTTTATAAAAAAAAAAAGGCCAAGACGGGTTACATTTACATGAAGCCTTTGTACTAACAGTGAAGTAAAAGTCCATTCACCATGAAATTGCTTCAAAGTCTTGAGTTACTACACTGCAGGACTGATGCTTTATCAGACATGACACCAGTGGTTTTTATCCAAAGAGACTTGGATGTCTACTATTTTAGACACTGGTGTTGTGCTTCCTCCTCCGGAGTGAATCATCTGCCAAACTTGAAAATTCCTGGAATTAAAATGAACATTTTCTCTTCTTTCCATCTTGTCTTGCAGTGTGGACAGGAAGAACAATGTCCACTACCTTATCAAGTGGAAAGAACTGCCGTACGACCAGTCGACCTGGGAGGCAGAGGACATGGACATACCCGAGTTTGACACCTACAAGCTGCAGTACTGGAACCACAGGTAAGACACAGGATGGTGCCTTGAACCTGGTGTGATGCCTCAGCAGCACAGAATGCTTCACTGCCTGTGTGTATGTTTCAGAGAGCTGATGATGGGAGAGGAGGGGAGACCTGGGAAAAAGATCAAGGTGAAAGGAAGAGTGAAGCGACCAGAGAGACCTCCTGAGAACCCCGTCATAGATGTAGGTCCACACTATGGATTATTTATATTTGTACTGAAGTGAAATACACCATTTTTCTAGTCTAGTCTAGGTTACCAGCAGCTGTTATGTAACAGTGTTTAAACTCTTACCCATTTACCAAAGATCATGACCTCTGAGTTTCACCCATAGCTGTAACATTTCAGGTCGAACATCCTCTGAAATTCATTAGACTCAGCCTTAAGATGGTTTTACAGATTTTAAATGCAAAGTCACCCACTGCACTTGTTTAGTGCCTGATGATGAAACGCATTCATTCGCATAATGGATTAGTTTAATCAACTTTCACATCAACCTTTTACAGTGATTATATCCCAGTAGTGACATTGTCTGTATTTGGCTCTTATTCAAAGGTCAAAGTGTTTATTTGTCATACGCACAGTTAGGAAACGTGTTTCCCTGTACAATGAAATTCTTACTTTGCCGTCCACATGAATGCCGCAAAATACAAATGAAATATAACGTAGATAAAGAAGTAAACGGTAAGGAAACGTGTTTCCCTGTACAATGAAATTCTTACTTTGCCGTCCACATGAATGCCGCAAAATACAAATGAAATATAACGTAGATAAAGAAGTAACACAAAATCGAAGGCACTTTAAGGAGCAAATCCAGCAGTATAATAAAAAATATATGAATATAACAATGTATGCTGCATGGGAGCAGCATGTGTAGTAGTCAGTCAATGTGCAATTATTCATGTGCAAACTGAGAATGTAAACGCTACAGGTCGACAGTACATGACGTATTTCCTGGTAATAAACTCCTGTCAGCTGTTTAGGAGTCTGATGGCAGAGGGAAAGA